GATATGCGTCTCTCCACCTCCTCATGAATAGCGAATCAGCCTATCCTCTATATGGGCTTACGTGATGATTGGAATAGGGTCGTGAGTCGCCCTGTTGCCATAATAATCAATCTAGATCCTGGTTAACTTATCCCACTTTGATGTATATGGGTCCGGATGGGGCATCTGGTGATGGTGTCGAAAGCTGTCGTATGGAAAAGGGAGGCTCATATCCCTGGGTGACCTCTGAATGATGCTAGGGCCCAAGTTATCATGATGGTCTAAATCATCCTCTGTGGAAGAACTGACATCAGAAGAGGTGGGTTGTGGCACCCGTGGCTGTCACGAGGTCTCGACCTCTTCGATGGTTGCCACCCTCGCTCTCAAAATATCAAGGGCTCTCGTTATACCACCACGAGTCTTTCTCAGCAGGGAGTGCTGCAAGGCGGTCTAATGGCCTCCTATCATCTTAATATATTGAATACATATGATATTACAATTTTATGATTAACTTAGTAAATAATATTTAAGTATTCAAATTGGAAAAAAAAAACTTACTGTAACCATAGTAAAGAAATCAAGGCAATAAACCCTAGTGAGGATCACACTTCGCACCCCAGCGAACTGTCCTAGAAACTTGTATGTGCAGGTAAAATACGTTTGGGAGACGGGAAACATCTCCAAGATCCATATATGAAATTACACTACCATACAAACAAGTAGGTGGAGTTAAAAATGGTAACCAACTTCAAATGTATAAAATATTTAATTGATAGTAATAACTAACCTTAAAGGCATATAAGAATCCTATCATGGTCATTTTTAGTCTCTGGTCGATGCGTTTTTAGATGACACCATTCATTCACCTGAATGTGGGTGCCTAGATGTAGGATCCCCGGGGAAACTAGTTCCAAACTCGAACATCCTCTACGACCCTGATTAGAGTGTCACAAACAAGCTGATGCTTCTAACGACAAAGAAAACCCACCCCCACCATCATCAACAAACAAGGTTGGACAACATTAGAGCCCGATAGGCCCTTCATGTGGCCAAACTGCCTAACCACCTTAGAAATCTTCAGGTGTATGGGATCCCGTTGTATAGGTCCTGCTACGGGTGGAAACACCCTATGGATGAAAGAGTCAACTCATAGGGAAGGCAGACTGGTCTGTGGTCCGAAATAAAGTCTTGTCAAAGTACAAAAGTCCTCCCACCCGTATCAGAGATAATCCCACCAATATCAAACCACATATCTATTCTTGGGGATGACCTATTTTTGCAGGAACATGTGGATCAACATTGGTTCTCCTTCACCCATGGTAATGTCCAACTATAGACCAAAAAAGGTGTCGCAAAAGAGGGCCAACCTCACAGGACTCAAGTTGGCCTTGATATCTAATGCGACATATATCTGGCACTTTAGCATCAACGACATCCAGTAAAAATCTCCTTCATAGTGATTCAATCAATTGTTATGATTATAGGGACCAAACCCGTAAGTATATAAGTACAAGGACCGAATATAAAATTATAGGGACCAAATCTATAATTATTTTAAGTACAAGGACCAAAATGTATTAATCATAAATATAATGACCAAATTTGTAATTATTTTAAGTAAAGCGACCAAAATGTACATACTCAGGGACCTAATCTGTAACTACTCTAAGTTTAGGGACCTAATCTGTAAGTTCCCTAATCACAGGGACCACATCTATAGATATTCTAAGTGTAGGGACCTACTCTGTATCTATTTTAGGTAGTACACTAATTATAAGGACCAAATCTATAAATAAAGTGTAGGGACCTAATTTGTAACTATTCGAAGTCTAGGGACCTAATTTGTAACTATTTTACATATACTCTAATCATAAGGAGCTAATCTCTAAGTACTTTAATTATAAGGACCTAATATGCGATTACTTCAAGTATAAGTAACTAATCTAATTACGAGGATCTAATTTGTAACTATTTTAATTGCAGGGACCAGATCTGTAACCTTTTTAAGTTCAATAACCTAATATGTAAATATTCTAAATATAAGAACCTAATTTGTAACTATTTTAAGTAGTACTTTAATTATAAGGACCTAATCTATAATTACTTTAAGTATAAGGACCTAACTTATAATTACTTAAATATGTTTCGACGGGCAATATATTGAAGATTTGTCTAAAATTTTCGATTGGATTATCGACGGTACACATTTTGTTTAAAATCTATCAAAAATCCATTGATTATTTAAAAAAATTATTTTTCATAATCTGTCTAAAATCCGTCAAAAAGATTTGACTTTTTCCATTGAAGATACCTAGTTTTCTAGTAATGATATTAGTTTAAAATCACATGTGATTCGATCGTTTTCTTATTATTTTATTTGGTTATCCTATGTTATATTAGATATTGACTAGTTATATACGAGATAAAGATATATCTAAATTGCCCTACTAATTGAATGTGAATGTAGATAGAAACTCTACGGAAGTTCTTCTCTCTCATTTGTGACTGTGCCTAGAATGAATTAACGGATGAAGTTAATACAAAAAAATCCAAGAATTTAAAGAGCAGGTTGGGATAAAGAAACGGAAAAACCGAAGTTGTATATTCACAAAGACTTTCTCGAGAATAACCAAAAGTGAGATATCGAAGTAGTTTTGATGATTCACGAACATTATTACTTGAATTTGAAGTTCGTAGTTACTATGACCGATGAATCGTAGCAATGTATATAGACTTCGAACGAGAGCTCAAAAATACCATAGTTGAATCTTTATCGTAGAATATTTAGTAGATTTTGTCATGATTGATAGTTGCAATTAGATCTAACGGCTAAGAAATTATTTAAGAAACAAATCATTTTACAATATTGTTCTTACTCTGGAAAATGAGTAGTGTGAAAGAGTGCAGTTTTTTGCAACACTATGATATGATCGCTTACCACCGTGTAATACATATTCACACACTTTGATCACAATTTGACAAGGTTGCATGACAGTCCTATGTGAGCATTGTAATTATAGTAAACTAGTTGTATACCCGCGCAATGCAGCGGAATGTAAAAGTTCATTAAAATTTATTCAATTGCAAAATATCAAATTCTTTCAAGATGTCATAAAGCCTACAACATTTGTACTTACAGTAGATTCAAATAATCATCTATGCGAAGTGTTGGTGTTAGTAGCTTCTGCAATCATTTGAGATTTTTTATTAAAAGATAACTTTTCAAGATCATATGCATCACCAAACAAATTGCAACTTCAGATATCATAGTTAGCATTTGGGAGCACCGAAAGCCAAAAAGTGATGTCTCAAAATTCAACTTATTTAATTCATTTCTTAACCAGATTTTGCCTAATTCCAAATTCAAAACAACAAGAAGCCATCACATGTAATTGTTCCCTAAATCTTCAATATTTTTATATAACAAAATCTGTTAAATAAATATATTCCACTACAAAGTGAGTTCATTGACAACAGTTAAATCTGGCCAAGATTGCAATCATTAATTTGAATACAAATAGATACAATAATCATAGACAACTTGTTACCAATCAAATTTAAGATTGTTTTCAAGACTTTTATAAAATCTAGTTTATAAGATGGTATAGATAAGAACCAACCGGTTATATGTGACCCTTAATCAACCCCTCTTTAATCAGTCAAAATGTAATCGATCCCGGTCCGAATTCAAAACTTGGTTGGAATCAAGATCAAAGGCAACAAACATCAACTCCACTCAATACAAACAATTTAATGTATCACAAGGATTTAATCTAAGAACTCTTCAAGGAAATCAGAATAAAATCTAAAACCAATTCCTTCTGTTAAATGAGTTACAAACCCCAAACATATAAATTAGAAACACCGAACTTTCAAAATCACACTCAAAGACAAAGCTCTCAACTTACATTAAATTTGTCTATACAACAATTCTTTTACATCAAGTCTACTTATTATATCGACGATGTGATCACCCACGAGAAAGAAAATAGCAGCCCATAGGAACGCTAAGAAACGTTCGAGAAGGATAGTCGATCTTTGAGAGTATCAAAAATGGATGAAGCTACCGAATTCTGTTGTAAAGTGTTTATGAGGCGGCCCAGCAACTTTAGTCTGTGATGCAGCATCGGTAGCTTCCTTTACCATTCGAGCATATGCATGTTACACACAAACACATAAACCACAACCAATAAGACTAATACAACTTTGACATCTTAGCAAAACTTCAACTTATTAATCCACATTTGATGACAAAGTTTCAATCAGCTTCTGCTTTCTATAAGCAACATAATCTGAACCACAAATGAAGTTTACAACTAACAGAAAGAGATTTGTATCTATGTTAATTGGGAATAATAGAACAATCTGGACTTGTGTATGATATCAGAGCATGCAGATAATCTTTTCATTTGCATGTTTTTGTGATCTTTGGATCCTTGCCCTTGACAAGATGTTTTTATTGAAGAAGATTAAAATGGTTTTTTCTATAATTCAAATTGTTCGTTCAGCACAAAAAACAAACTAAGGGGTCGTTTACCAAATAATTACCCAGTAAGTGCTTACCAGTAAAAATTGACACTACTATTTATTTACCGGGTAAGATTTTAGTCCACCAAAACGACATCGCATGTAACAATTTACCCGGTAAGCGCTTACCGAATTTATCCGGTAAGGTAATGTGACTTGGTAAGCGCTTACCCGGGTAAACGTTTGGTAAACAGTCCCTAACAGTTGTTCATTTCACCCTTATTCCAAATAAATGTCTAATTCACACAGCGCTTAATGAAAACAAAAAAGAAAAACAAACATTCACTCAGTCTCGTGGAAGCTTCAGAAATGATGTCACATACATCAGGTCATAATGCCACATGCAGATTGGTAAAAATGCTTATAACATATCACAAAACCATCTGCATTTAGAATACTACTATTCAGATAAGAGGCGGCAGCAAGGAACAACTTGAGAAATCCCCATTCTTTGAGAGGCTTAAAAGGAAAAATTTTGGGGTAAAAGTTTCCTCCATCTTAAAATCTAATCACATTTCATTTCTACAATAGCGACATTTGTAATCACATTTCATTTCATGATACAAATTTTGAATTTAAAAAAGGACAGCTAGGAGATCTCCAACACTTAAGTTAAAATGGAGATTCCTTACAAATTCAATTAACCACAAACTAAAATTAACTACAACAAAGTTCATGAAAAATGGATTTACTTACATTTGAAAGTGTGGTTTGCTTTTTGCAGGTGATTCTTTTCACAGATCTCCTGGATGTGTACTTGATGCAGTACCTGACCTCTATTCTACCCTTTTCTTGCTCACTTCACGACAGAAACAATGAAAACAAAATGAAGCAGTGTAAACAGAAACAAAAACAGGTTTGTAAACAGAAACAGAAACAAACTCAAATGGAACCATGATCATAACATACCACACAAACTCAAAAACTTAAAAAAGGTTGGGTAATATGAGGCAGTGTAAACAGAAACAGAAACAGGTTTGTAAACAGGTTGTGCTAATATAACAGGTTATGAACAGCCATATGGAACCTTAATGCATATATGTAAATAGGTTTGTAAACAGGTCTATTTGGTTGAGTCCTCGTAATTGACTGCAAGCAAAGAAAGCAGTAGAGAATGGTGATGACAAAAAGGCTGGAATCACATGCAGTTGTTAGTTAGCATGTCTATCATCCCATAAATACATGTCCAAGGGTCAAGGACTATAGACTCACAAAGAACAAGTTTTCCCTATAGACTACAGTAATATACCCCCTGATTTCCTAACACCTTAACCAACTTGAGACTTATTCTCCTAGCTTTTGATTGAAACATCAATTTGATTCTAAATCATATAATTTAGTGCATGAATCTATTGGAAAAAAAACTTAAATACGTCCAAGCATACATAAACACGAATCCATGAAAATTGAAGGGCTCTAAATTAAATTGAATAAATCAAATATCAAAAGCGAAAAGTGACTATTTATAAAAAATTGCAGAGCAAATACAAATACATAAATCATACRTTCATACGAAGGAACTATTTATAACAGAAAAATACAAATACTTGATCATACTTCCATCCAAACCATAGCAGGCATTATTAATATGGGTTTATTGCAAGCAAATTATGTTACATAACAGGTTGATTGAATGATCRGAGATTAGGATGCTATCACTGACCAAATGGAAGAAATATAAGTCCCCTAGTAATTCTTTGTGTCTTTGATTGCATCAAGTATCTACACACAATTTTTAACATAAGCCTTCCAAATGGGCAATGAGCATTTGAGTCATTTTTAAGTACAAAAACAAAACCTAAACAAGGGGGTATGCCTCACCTTTGTATATATACATGGTATCAAACCCAAGTTCCAATTATCATTGTTTTGTTTCAAAAACATGAGTTAATTTGTGATCTAAAAAGAATTTAGAAACAACACTATTCGGACAATATGAGAAAGAAAGCATGCAGTTGARAGCAAATAAAACTTTGCAATCTGGAAATCAAGAAAGAACAAAACTTTGCAATCAATCTTTGAAGACAAACTAAGTCTCACAGAAAATGATGTGTAAATCAAAATGACAAAAAATGTGCACGTCAAGAACAAAATATGTGTAACTCAAAATGAAACCTTGAGTGAATTAAAATGGATTACCTAGACCAGTCAATGGATCACCTTGAATCGGGTCTTGAGTCTTCCAACAATGAACTTCCAACTGCAATACATAAATCATACATTCATAYGAAGGAACTATTTATAACAGAAGCGTGACAACCAATAGCTTTCAGAAGAGCTTTTGCAATAAACCCTAAACCCAACTAACGATGATGAAATCAGTAACTAAACTCAAGTAACAATGATGCAATAAACCCTAAACCCTAAATTAACTTACCTTTGAATCAAACAGAGCTTGAAAACCTCCATAGTTCAAAAGTTCCACACGCAATCAGAGATTTGAATTGAAATCGTGCCCTCAAGGATCGCCTGAATCATTTATGAATCGCCTAACAGGAGCGATCACTTATAAACCCTAAGGTTAAGAATCGCCTGAATCGTTGCCTTGGGGACTGAATCGTCATCTTTATAATCGGTTCTTTGGAGGGCAGAGTTGCGTTGGAAAGGGAAGTGAGGGTGGAGCGTCGTTTGGAAAAGAATGATGAGGTGAGCGTGAAGCGTCGTTTGGAAGAGAGAGAGAGGGCCTCGGGTTATCAATGTGTGCTTGAGAGAGTAGTACTAAATGCATTATAGGTTGGTTTTTAAGACCTTAAGACTTCATGCTTAAAAAGATTGTATCTTATGCAGTTTAAGTTGTTTTTAAGACTTTTAAGAAATATGCTTTATAATGTAGTATAGATATATTAGCCATCAGATATTTACTATAATATATTCTATGCAACACTATGATCACTTACAACTTGGGTTTTATGGGATGACACTTGGGAGCCATAGCTTTATTATATATGGCTCCCAAGATGTCATCCTATGAAACCCAAGTTGCAGTCATCCCAGCATCACACTTCACAACATCCCAGACCTCTATAGAAAAACCACACTCAAAGAAAAGATGGTTTATGGGAGTCTATATTAATTGTAGTCTCCAATATCAAGAACGCCATTTCAATTGAAAAAGGGCAACACACATCCTAAATTGAATTGTTTAAGAACCATTGTCTTGTTCACCAAGTTCTCCACCACATCATTTCGACAGAATCCAACCTCACTCGCATAACGTCGACTGACAAGGAAAAAGAAAAGGAACGTGTGGTTGACAATGTGATCCGGACACGATTGGACGCCACCGTCCTTTAATGGATTTATGGTAATGATCTTCTCCATACACCTGATTCCACGACACACAAAGCGTGGGAAAACATGAAGAAAAATTTCCAATATAAGCAGAATTCTAGGGTCGTTCTCTTGGAAATGAAAGACGTTGTTCCCTTAAGTTATTTCCTAGGGATTATGGTTACACGTCGTAAAACGGTCTTTTTCTCTCTCAGTGCAATACATGGAGGAAATTATTGCTCGAGCCGGAACATCTTCTTTCTCCTCTTGCTCTTCTTCAGTCGACCCAAAGGCCAAACTAAGCTCGAAAGTTGGTCCTCCTTTTAGCGATCCAACTCGCTACAGAAGTCTCGTCGACGCATTACTTATCTCACGAATCGACATTTCCTTCGCTATTCAACGGGTATGCTTACACATGCATGACCCCCATGATGAAACACATCATTCGCTACATTTAGGGAACACTCAACTATGGCCTTCATTTATACAAATCACCGTTCGACTCCTTGATCTCGTATATAGACACTGACGTGGGAGGGTGTCCTGAAACTCGTTGATCCACTTCCAAGTACTGTGTTTTTGTTGGCGATAATCTCATCTCGTGGTCTTCAAAAATCCAATGCACGTTGTCGCACTCTAGTGTAGAAGCAAAATATAGAGCCGTCGAAAATGTGGTCTTGGAGTGTTGTTGGATTCGTGATCTCCTATTGGAACTTCATGGTCCTATCTATAAAGCCACTCTAGTTTATAATACAATGGAAGGTCCATATATCTATCCGGATATCCTATCGCGGTGAGGTGCATGTTCTACATGTCCCCTTCCGCTACCAAGGGGCGGACCTACTAAGGACCGAGCAGGGTCCCGTGCATCTGCCGCTCGGTTGATTGATTACCTTAAAAGGGAAAAAATGTAGGCGGCTTGAAAGTGCCCCCACTTGGTTTTTTAGGGTGCTTTTAAACTAAACCTAGAAGACAAATATGTTGGCCGAACTAAAGCTCCTCATAGAGGAGGTTCAAGGTTTGATCCCAACTTGGTGCATATAATTATTATTTTTGGTTAACTAACTCCATAAATAACATTTAATAACTTATTGAATACTTTATTAATAGTTATTTAATAACAAATTGAATTTCATACTTAAATAACATTTAATAACGCATTTGATACTCTAGTAATTTCATATTTGATCGTTCCCCAAAACTGTTTTCTAATTTGTTACTCAAAATTCTAGATGCATAAGAAAGCGAAATTCAAAACCTAAAAAAACTAAAGCAAAATCGATATCAAATACTAAAAATTGAAACTTTTTTATGAGATCATCTAAAAAAACAAAAAACATTTCTCATGACGGTGGAATTCAGCTAAAAACATGTTGGCCGTAAGATGTAGTATTTTGTTTTGCTCAAAAGGTCAAGGTCGATTCAATTTGAAATAATGAATTATTCCCAAAATCGAGATCAAACTATCCCCTGATCAAACCCACAACTTTTTGGGACTTTGATCCACCTTAAGAAAATTCTTGGGTCCACCACTACGCTACCAGATTGCCGATATTTTCACAAAAGGGCTTTCGCGCATAGTTTTTGATGATTTCCAAACCACTCTCAGTATACACAAACCTTCCACTTCTGACTGCGGGTGTGTTAGCATTGTAATTATGGCTAATATATTAGCCATCAATTTAGAATCAGTATCCCTGATTTGTAGCTGGTATCCGGTTTTATTCCAACATCTCTTGTATTTATATTTGTAATCGTTTAGACTTTTTAGATTCAAGTAATACATTCTAGGACTATGTAAAATGGTGCATGACTTTTTTTTTTTACATGATTGTAAAACTGTGTAGAAAGGTTATTTTAAAAAGTGTAAAATGCTTATTTATATAGTAGTGATAGGCTCAATCGACCTAACTATGCATATGTTTCGTTTCTATTATTGCACTACAGACATAAAACATCAAGGATGATAATACAAATGAAAAAAATGAGACTTGGCAACTTTTATCAAACCACATAGTATTTTCACCTATTTGAAATCACATATTGTGTTTTTGCACTTTTATGAAACCTCATAAACGTCTTATTGGATATATTGATAATGTTGGCAAAGGGGAGTTGCAAGAAATTCATAAACCATGCATGCGGTAATTTTCTAGAATGATATTCAAGATGATAAGCCTCATTGTTTTATGATTTGAAACCACCAGCTGTATATCCGGCATCGACAACAATAACTTGTCCAGTAATATATGATGCTGCTGGAAGACAAAGGAAAACGACTAATGGTGATATTTCATCAGGCTCTGCTATTGGACGAAGTGGAGTTCGAGCCATTAATGCTGCGTATGCTTCGATAAGTTTGTCGTCGATCTTCTCCTGTTTAATAATATTATAACATATTAAACAACAAACTGAAGTCCTAATTAACTAATTAATGACCACAATATTAATGTACGAATAGCTAGATATATCAACTTCTATAAGATATGATATGATCTGTTTAATTATTTTAGACATTAATTATAATGCAGTTTGACTTACGTTAAACGTCTATTGTTGATTAGGATCAGACATCGAATCAGTTTATTCTTAGAACACCATCCATATTGGCGAAAATTTCTGGAGTTCAAAAAAGAAGAAATTTGACACCAAGGTTGTTATATACCTTATCAGAAATAGTGGTTTTGACACCCCATGGTGCTACTGCATTGGTGCGAATGTTGTCTTTCGCCCACTCACAAGCCAAGTTCTTTGTCAACTGATTGATCGCACCTGCAAAAATCAACCACTTATAATTAACCAATGATATATATATATATATATATATATGTATGTGTGTGTGTGTGTGATAAGCCTAATCAAATGAGAACTAGATAATTTGTGGTAACCGTGAAATCCGATATGAACCAATCATTAGGATAATTAATGTTATATTTAAAATAAGATAAAGGGTAAAGGTTGTCGTATTCGGGGCTTTGTTGTACATCTGTTTATACATGGCCGACAAATTGCCGATTGAACGGGATCCCTACCGAAGAAAAACCAATGTCGGTCTAGTTTCGGATCTTGACGACGATGACGGAGATATAGCTCTGATTAAAAATATTTTTTTTGTAATATATATCATATAATAATATAATTAATATATATATATATATATATATATATTCAGTCTTAAGCTCATTTCAAAAGCTTTGACGAGATGATTATAATGGCGTAACTTGTTAAAATTAGAACGTATTTTAGTTAATATATGATTATGTATATTAATGTCATAAGGGTATAAAACAAAAAATGAAAAAGCAAGGTTCGTAAAACAAATTAATTAAGTAACTATAAAGGTATGAAGTGTAATTTTAAAATTAAAAAATATATTAAAAATTGTGAGAGGAACAACATGACTAATGGGGTATGAAAAGTGATGTGAGTGCAAATAACAACCCCTCTTTACGTACTCATTTGATATTGTCTCTCTCTCTCTGTGCGTGTGCGCTAGAAGTCTCTCTGTGTGTGTACGCTAGAAGGGTACTCGTGCAATGAAACGAAATACATCTTGATTTTAAAGTTTCATTTATTCTGTCTTCGTCGATGTTATAATACGATTTTATGTGGTACTGGAAAAACGATAATGTTTTTATTTTTTGAATAAAATATAAATTTGTAGATATTATAAAATTTTGAAAAAAATATATCGATTCTATTATCAAATTAAATATTAAAAATTCTTGTTTTTTTTATAATTTCTTCAATTCAATTTTTTATTATAATTTAATTTAGATTTAATAATGAAATCATTTATTTTTAGTTTAATAATAAAAGTTTTTTTTATAAAGATAATAATTACTATTTTGTTAGAATTCAACAATTATCTTAAATATATTTTAGATTTTATATATTTAAAATGAGATATTTATCCAATATTTGATTATGTTTATTTGCAGTTAGTTACATGAATTCAAATATAGAGCTTTAATAAGTTGTACATACACACAATTTACTTATAATCTTGAATTTTTAGCAATATGCATTAATAAACAGTATTTAATGCATAAAAATGATTTTTAAGAGTTTTTATCAAATGATTTATAATATAGTATAAATATATTTATATATAGGGTTGGGTTACGTTAGATTCGGGAGACCCTATACCACATTTTTACACTTCAAACTTCATAACAAAACATTATATGAGGTAAAAAAAATCCGAACTTTCACAATAAAAACATCGTGAAGGTTACTTTCACAGTATTTTACTGTGAAGTTTCAAATGTAAAAAAGTTATCTTACGAATACACGTTACTCTCACATGATCCCAAGTGTATGTATATATATAGGGTTGGGTTCACGTGAGACACGATTTTTACATTTGAAATTTCACAACAAAATGTTGTGAAGGTAAAAGAAAAGCCGAATCTTCATAGCGAAAACACTGTGAAATTTCACAGTGTTTTGCTATGAAGCTTCAAGTATAAAAATCGTGTCTCACGTATCTCACGAAAACAGTCTTGTCTCACATGATACCAAGTATATATATATATATATATATATATATATATATAAATATATATATATATAAAAGTTGGCTAGAGATAGTTGGATGTGTATATATAGATAGATGACCTTTAGAGGCTGCATAGACAGAAAGGGAAGGAAGGGCCATGACACCAGCAACAGAAGAGATGAAAACAATGCTAGCGTTGCCTGATGATTTCAGCAGTGGGTACGCCAGTTGACTCAAGTGGTATGGCGATTCAAAGTTGGTCCCCATTATAAATCTGTAATCCTCCGTCGTATGATCCGTTGCATCTTTCATTCGGGTCGATGCAGCATTGTTTATCTAATACAACCACACACACTTAATCATCTGTATACGTATATGTATGTATGTATTTTGAAGATGACTTACAAGGATGTTGAGTTTGGAATCAAAAATGGAAGAGACAGTGCTGATGAGCTCCTCTCTTTGTTGTTTACAAGATAAATCACAGACAGAAGCAGTTACTTGATAGCCTTTGGATTTCCATTCTTCCAGCCTTTCCTTGATCTCTGTGGGATTTCTTGAGCAGGTATGTATTGCTGCACCAAATCCTGCTAATTCTTCCACTATCGCATAACTACAATATCAAGAATTAAGTATATATCTATATATATACAAGCACCATCCATAAGTGGAATAATTAATTACCCAATGCCTCTGGTGCCACCGGTGACTAGAGCAGTCGTGCCCTTGAGAGACCATCTCTGCTCTCGGCTACTCGCCATCTTCAATTATGTTGGATCCACTTACTCAACAATGTATATATATATATATATATATATATATATTACATACGTAAACCACAGGCCAGATGAGGCCATGGCTCCCTAGAGGTTTTTTCAATTTACTTGTGTTGGATATTAGTCGCTTTTGCAATTAATAATAACAATGATTTTTTAATGTTTCATTCTGTGTAGCAAAACAGATAGAAATATATGTTGGTCTTTTTCCTTGGGTTGTGAAATTGGTTTATAATTTACGGTACAACCAAATGATTTGATTAAGTTGGTATTTGAGAGGGGTCTAAAACCAAATTAAAATAAAACTGAATTTTGTAACACTTGTGGTTATTCTTTTTTCAAGAAACATTCAAATAAATTTGACATCAACATCAAACCGGATATTTCTATTATATTTCTATTTTGTATGTAAACAAAAGGTTGGGCGGCCGCAAGATACCCATCCCTTCCGGCATCGAGATCCTAGTTCCGTTCGTTTTGGTTGCATTGTAATGTGCCGAATTTGCGTTTGATTTTTTGGAATTCGATGAAATTGAAATAATAGATTTCATTACCTCAATTTTATCAAATTATTTGGTTTGCAAGATAAGATAAACAAAAATTCGGTTCGTATTAACATATTCTTTTAGATGGGATTCGATATCATTCACTACTAGAAAGTAAGGTATCGGCGACAAAAGTCAACGAGAGAAAATTTCTCACTGATCAACGAGGGAATGAGTTTTTAGCCTTTCCCTCGTTGATCCCTCGCAGAAAAATTCCCTCGTTTGAAAGTTTCCTCGCTGATCCTTTGCTGAAAGTATCTCTCGTTGAAGGTATCCCTCGCTGAAAATATCTTTCACTGATCCGTCGCTGAAAGTTCCCTAGTTGATCCGTCGCTGATAGCATTACCTACGAGCATTTGACCGACGGAGTATCAACGACGGATCAGCGACAGAAGACCTTTTTAGTGACGGATCAACGAGAGAATTTTCGTTCGCTGTTACTCTTCATTTTTGTAGTGATTAACCCTTATTAATTATTATGTCAATAAGAAAACTGTTCACTCATAAAAATCATTTGCTATTATTATTATTATTAAGAAATAAATGGTAACTTAGAAAAAACTTCAAGTACGTATTTATAAAGCCAAAAACTAATTATAAATTATGTTAAGAAAATCAAATAAGAAATTACAAAAATATCATTAAAAAATATTTATCATTATTCATATTTCAATTTCAAAGCTATATCTATAACCAAACAAGAAATTGGATTGAATTGAATTATATTTTCTGAAAACCAAATTATATTTAATTTCATTTCCATATTTCAATTCATTTTCTTGATAATTAAAATTTTCAGTTATATAATGTTTAATCATGTTTCCATATCAAACACTATTTAAAGGTATGATTGGGTGTGATCACAGCTTGCTTGTTTCGTCACTTGCAATGTAATTTTCTGTAAGTATTAAGAAGGTAGCATGTGGGATTAGTTTATTCCAATTTTTAAGTATTTAAAATAAAATCATAGAAAACGAATATGAACCTGTAAACTGCAATCTTTTCCGGTCGCTGCGATTACGAACAAATACCTCCTCTAGATTCTGGATTGACACTGATAGATTGAAGAACATGTCAAATATATATATATGCATCTCAGTCGAATTAAACGATTTCATCGAATTGGGTTAGGGCGATAAAAATGGGATTGGATTTAGGGATAAGCAGAGTCGATATCATCTCAATCGAATTAAACGATTTCATAGAATTGGGTTAGGGTTGCGATAAAAATGGGATTGGGAATTAAACGATTTCATCGATTGGGATTAGGGTTGCGATAGATAAAAATAGGAATGGGAATTAGGGGCGATAAAATGGGATTGGGTTAGGGGAGAAAAAAATGGGATTGGGTTTAGGAAGGGGGTGGTTAGGATAGTATGCTTTAGTAGGTTGTACTTAAAGCAATAGAAGTTGTTTTTAAGAGTTTAAGAGTTTAACAGTTTGAGCCAAATGCATTATAAGATAGTATAGATAACATTTTATAAAAATAATAGTTAAGTATTCTGTTAGAACTTAATCATTATCCTAATTATATTTTAGATTTTTTATATTTAAAATAAGATGTTTATCTTGTATTTGATTATATTTATATGCAATTAGTTACACGAATTCAGATATGGAGCTTTAATAAGTTGTACTTACGCACAATCTATATTTGTAATCTTGAGTTTTAAGTAATATGCATTAATAAACTGTATTTTACGCATAAAAAGTAGTTTTTAAAAGTTTTTGTCAAATGCTTTATAATATAGTATAATTTTTTTTTATAATTTAATTTAAGTTTAATAATGAAATAATTTATTTTTGGTTTAATAATATAACATTTTATAAAGATAATAATTAAGTATTTTATTAGAACTCAATGATTATCCTAATTATA